TGTCTACGTATATTGGGAGCATACGTTAAAATGTCACATCACTACAGTCAAATTTGCAGCACAATTTAAATGGGAAAACTAAAAGACAATAACAATTGTCTGCTTTGTTATGTCATGTGGGTCTGTTTGATAATGGTCCAGTAAAATATTATGCAATTCCACCCCTCAAGCCATCTCAGATGAAGTCTCATTTGTCAGCCATGGTGATCTGGTTTACGGGACTTTTGATCCATGACATTTACATGATTTGATATAACACAGCAAAGACTGATGAAGATTCAGATATCCTGCCACCCTCGAGCTGAGGCAGACAGGATTCACCTATGACAATAAAACAGTTTAATGATGTGAGCACAGCTGATTGGGAGGCTAAGTGAAATAGTGTTCAAATAATTGTTTATGTGAAATCACTCCGGTTGGTTGATCCCAATTAATCTGGCTTCCCAACACATTAATGAAATCTTATTTAAGTCTTTAAGCTACCTGCTCTGCCAACACTCAACATATGCTGAGTGTTCTTCAGTGTGTTTGCACTATTGTCTTTCATTCTGCTTTACTTGGAAGTTACAACCAAAGAGTGCAAAGTACAGGCTTGTTTGGTGCTCGTCAAATGAGGAAACTGTTGCTTGCATGATCAAAGAAACAAATATTGTTTTTGTGATTTGACATTTTTCATTATCGGCCCCCTTGTTAATTGTGGCAATTGCCAGATACCAGACTACCTCTGAGGTGGCAGCCAATTTGACAAAAATAACACACACACACACACACACACACACACACACACACATACACAACAGACGACAGAGTGCTACTGTTAGGTGGCAGAGCAGAAAGACAGTCTGGCTCACTGCAGACTCAGACATTGTTAATGACCCCTTGCTAGACATATTTAAGGACATAAAAACATATTTTGAATATATTTTACAAGCACAGGGTCAGCAGACATTCTGTAACATTTAACTATAGAAATGTGTAAAACTGTAGATGCAAGTGAACACAATAACTCCTGGTCATATGTGTTGATACTTCAGCATTACTTTTATAAGAAGCACGGCCAAGTACTGAGTAGAAAACCGCAGAATATTACATGTCAGACAACTGATAACAGTATGTAAGACTGTGCAGTGCTACTACATTAGACTTCAGAGGAGCAGGTTCTGAGCATCTTTCAGAAGAACTGAGACATAACAGCTACTGTATGGGGGGTCATAAAGCTTTTAGCTTTAGATAGCTACTTATATTAGGTTGACTAAAAAACCATCACAGGATTAATCAAGGAGAGGAAAGGCAAATGTATGCGCATGATTAGGGGTGTTTTAATATTTAAGTACAAGGCTAACTTTTGCTGAGTTCTGCGACCACATTAGCTGCTTCAGAATTCAAACCCATGACTGGGTAATGATGAAAAGAAATATGTGCCACCTGCCAGCAGATAAAGATAACAGTCTTTCAGTCACAGGCAGCAGACAGGGGAGAACGGTAGGCTACGCTTGCTAATGTTCCTCCAGATGACTGAACACTTCTCAAACACCTGAGTAAAACCTGCAATGTTACTGTTTGTTTTTAGACACTTTAAATTATTTTGTTACTTCTGCTTAGCACCTCTAAGATGTGTAATATTTTATAAAGTAAAATTCAATTGGAATAACTGTATATGCTGAGAACAACAAAATGAATAGACTTAAAAATGAGAAAAAACAGCACAGTGCATATTGACTTGCATGAAATGATGGGCCCTCACATACAGGACAAGAGAACCGTGTAAGACATAGTAGCGAGTAGACTACAAAGAATATTTCTGCACATGACAGCAATCAGTCAGAGCGCAGATTTTGGCAGTGTGGTTTACAGCTGCAGAGTTGGTGCAGTGAGTGTTTTGGGGACAAGCTGTTGGTGTTTTTGAGAGCAGATGGTTGTCTGGATGTGCATGATTGATGGCAATCTTTTCATTGCCTCTCTCCACCCTGGCTTTCTGCAGCTTCTTCATCAAAAAAGCATTTAACAGCCCAAAACACCCACACAGCAGAGTGGACAACACCAGAGCAAAAACCAAGCAATAGCATGAGGATGTGTTGCTCAGTTACTGAGTTAAAGACTCTCTTTGTCTGCTGCATTTTTTTTTCATCTAAAGACTAAAAGGGAAATTTGTCACCTGAGACTTGTTTGCAGAGGCTCATGTGTAGACCATTTCTGTCAAAGAAACATCTACATATCCACATTTTCATTTGTGTTTAGCTCTACGCTGGACAAAAAAACAGGTGGTGGTGCACTTCTCTTATATGTAACCAAACTGACAGCTGGAGAGCAAGTGCTGCAGGAACTGCTCACAAAAGAAAAAGACAGGATATTCACAACAGTGTACACACAAATATCACTGACGGTCAAACAGGTGGTGCCACAGATCTACAGGAGATTCTGTGAGGCTTCCTGCAGAGGTGCTGATGTCACTGAAAATCAATAGCGGGCTCCAGTGATATCGCGTTCAACAAGAATGGGAGTGACATGAGGTCACACTGACCACCAAAATCTAATCAGTTCATCTTTGAGCACAAATGGATGTGCCAAATGTGAAGCAATTCACTCCCACAAGACAGACGGACAAACAATTTGACAACATAAAAACTCTGTTGACTGATTTACAAAGTCACCAAACTGAACATAATTAGTGACTGCATAGCAAAGCTATCATAGGAGTATAAAAAGTGCTGTCTCAGGCATCTAACCACTGGTGTACTTAAGAAGCAAAGCAGTTGTAGAATCTTAATAAAACAAATAAGGAAATTAAAATGTACAACAAAATTTGTAAAATGATAACCAAATTAACATTATTACATTACATTATTCTATTTTATTACATTACTATTTGGGCTAAGTAATAATTGCCAGGCAACCTTGTAGTGACAGCTACTGTATAGCCACTGCTTCTGGTCAAGTCCACCACATATCCCCCTGTAAAACCACAACTGATTTTTACACCAGCTTTTGCACAAAACAAGATAAAATCTGTCAAATTGGTGTGTTTTGGAGGAGCAGGTAGTTTTAAGCTTTGGACAGAGCCTAACTAGCTGTCTCTCCTTATTTCTAGTCTTTAAGCTAAGCTTTAGCTTCATATCTAACAGAGAGATGAGAGTGGTATGAATCTTCCCAGCTAACGCTTGACAAGAGGCCACTTCTAAAAACATAAAACCATTGCTTTTAGATTTAATAAAGAAATTGTGTGGACAGCTTGTTAGAAAAAGACTGTTTCAGTCTTTTGTCTATCACGGGGAGGCCAAAAACCAGTTTCATTTCACTTTCAGGTGTAAGTGTAGTTTGGAAATCCAATGATAATATAGAATTCTAGATGTTTTGGTTGCTTGCCTGAACACCAACAGGCCAGATAGAAAATCACTGTGTGAGCTTTCATGGGTCAAATTTCTACTTTCTAATCTTCTAATCTATCAGAGAAGAAGCAAATTCATTGATCAGCACAAAGGCAGGAAATTATCACAATAATCAGGATTCAAACACTCAAGCTTGATCTGGCATCAAACAAGCAAACATCAAAAAACAGGCTCTGTGATTCATTGTTAAACCCTGAAAATATATTAGACTGACCACCAAAGCCTTGTGGGTAGCATTCAGTTCAGAAACCAAGTACAGAATAGTACAAGGCTGAAATCAGCATGTCGACCCTCCCCTTTAATGTCCACCAGGGTGGAAACAGGTTTCCTTGTAACTGCAGTGGGCTGTAGTTGGGAAAATGCAGCAAGAGAGAAGCACCTCCAGCCCATCACAAATTGTTACTTAAGCAGGCTGAAACTCACCTTCGAAAGAGACATTTAACCCCAAACCTTTTTAACTTGAGTTACTCAGTTACCAGTTAACAGTGAGGATGTAATAACCAGTGCCTTTGTGTTAATGTGTGCTATTGTGTCTCTGTATGATCAGAGTTTCAATAATTAACCAGCTGTGTGCACACCACAGATGTCAAATTAAAACTGTCATAAGATATTGGAAGACTTCAACTTCTTTAAATAGAAAAAGTGATGCTTAAGCATGTTATTTTACCTTTACGTGTCAAGTGTTTCTCTAAAATAACTTAAGAAGAACATGATTTGAAGAAGGTGTGGTATGCAAATAAATTGAAATGAATGTCCTGTAAACCTCTGGAGGGAGACAGCAGGAAACAAATGGTCAAATGAAGTAAAAAAAAATAAGTCTTGTAAAGGAGAAATGCTTGCCTGAGAAATGAACAAGGACGTGGGCTTAAGACAAGCTGACAGGGTGGCACACTCTACTCAGGCTTAAGTCACACATCTAATGACAGGTAGGAAAATGACTTGCAACTCTGATGCATGACTTGGCTGTGACTCAGATGCCAAACTGAGAGTGTGTTTTATCAACAATGACATGATAATAGCACAATGATAACACAAGAATGAGCCTTGTGTGTTTAACCATTCCTACATCTGACTTCACTGAAAATCTAAAACGCTGCTTCTGTTTGTTTAGTTGATCCTGAGTGAAGTAACTTGAGAACTCTAAAAAGTCTCTGTTTATTGTTAATCTGGTTTAGCCTATTGCTGAATTTATTTTTCACTGTAATCTGCTGTGTGTCACTGTCCCATCAGAGTTCACAACACTATAGGCCAATGAGGGGAAATCAGAAGACACACACGTTCAGGGCTCCTTGGTGTGTATCACACACTAAACTGGTCCCCTAATCATTTTGTCTTCTGCAAATCGTTGCCCTCAGAAAAATATCACCAAAAACAACCTGACACTATTCAATCTGACAGGGAGTTGCTCGCCTTGAACAAAAAAATTCAACAGCAACATCTGTTTTTTTGTAGCATGGTAACAAAACAGCAATCAGTTTCTGTTTCCCCTCTGACAAACCTTATTTTCACATCCTTGAACAAACCCTTAAACAAAGTATGAGTGTCCTAAAAAACAACAATACAAGACAGGACGCTTAATGAAATGATTGTTATTAATGCTCTGGGGTTTCTTACAAAGCTCTGTTATGTGGGGAATGTAAGAAACATTGGACAGCCCATTAATGACAGCTCTTCCTCTTGGGTAGAGTAACAGTGTTTGCATCTGTAAAAAAAAGAAAAGAAAAAGAATTGTGGAAAGCATACTGTACATGCCATATGGTCATTTCTGAGGGCGATATATAGCACACTATAAATAGGGAGTCATTTTAGACACAGCCAGAGTAATGTGGGGCAGCAGACTATCCCAGCATGCACTGGGCAATGGATATGGCAGCAGTCGATCACATAGCACACATAAACAAACTGTTCCTAGTTTCCTGGCCTGTGTGTCTATAGACTGTGGGAGTAAACTGGAGCCCTGAGAGAAATGAATTGGCATTATGATAACTGATTAATTGTCAAGGTCATCATTCACGCAAAAGGATAATATTTTGATGGTTCTCAAATATGAAAATGTGCTGCTTTCTCTGGTTCTACGTTATGATATGTAAATCAGTCACTAATGAAAATCATGGTTAGTTGCTGCCTTACTTTCTTATTGTTAGGACACTAAGCTATTCAGTGAGACTGCGTGCTGCTATTCTACACAGTGATTTAATGTCCATCATAGAAATCTCGTGAATATTTTCTGAGCCAACAATTTCCCCAACCTGAGCAATCCCCTTTCATTGTAATTAGTTTGTTGCATTGAACTACATGGATCTGATCAGTTTAGTTGAATTTCAAAACTTATCTTTTCAAGAACATAAAATCTGATATCTGCTGAGAGAATCAGTCAGTGAATCAATGTTAGAGTGAAACTACACCATCATTGTTATGGCTGCCCATGACAGTCAGTTTTACAGGTCAGAACATCAAAATATCCGTAGCAGCAGCTTCAACTTCACAGTTGCAGGGTTGGATGATTTGTTTCAATGGCAGGGATCATGTCATACTGTCATATTACAGGATATCAACACCGGTTTGCACACAGGGGTTAAATTTGTATGTACATGTTCCTACTTCGTTAGGTAAAAAAGTCTTCCTCAAGTCTAACCACAGCTAATAGTCGCAGGTTTTCTTCTTTTTGGAAAAATAGGTTAGTGTGCTTCAACCAACGCATGTCTGATTTCCAATTAGAGCAATCAAGCTCCCTCCCATCAGCCACATGGGTGTAGCTGCTCCTTCCTCTCAGTAGGACGACATCTGTAGCAGGCACATCCTTTTGTTTCTGCTGCATTTCTGCATAACTGACCATGAACTGAGGCTCCACCATGAAACAAATCGCCGGCTCTTGCTTTTCAAAACGTGCACAACGTGCCCACGTGCTGCACATCTCTCCTGCTCCACCTCGCAGCAACACCACTACAGGCAGAATAAAAGCAGCTATAAATATGTACCCTGTTCCCTGCACAGTGGTTTATAAGGATAATCTGCAGACCAGTAATAGAAACCGCAAATTGCTGTTTATACAGTCGCTAGATGGCGCAGTGCTCAATTTCTATGTATTTCTAATCCCATCTTCGTAGCACAGTGTCTGAACCTTTACCATGAGATGAGAAATAAAGCTGAAGTGGGTGGCAGGGCCCGAGACACCAGGCCTGTACCTTCACTCAGCTACTCACTCTGATCAAGTGTGCATATGTATATTTATTTATTTATATATTAGCCTTTTCTGTACTTGGCACGCTCACGTGTCTGCAGTTATTTATCTCATAACAACAATACGCTACATAATACACGCGTATTATGGCCAACAATCCTGTGTTGACATCCTTTGGGGAGCGGCGAGGAATACGAGGTTGCAGCGCTTGGTTTTGATATGGCAGCAATTTAAACGCAAATTAAAATACACGAGACGCCACATTGAGCAGACACATTGAGATCCGAGCTGTAAGCTAAAGCTGACTAGCAGTGTGACAGCCAGACACCATGGCTACACAGCCTGCTGATGGGGGACTCCCAGGCTGCAGGCCGAGCGCACCGAGCGCCACGATGAGTAACATTACTAAACACAAACATCACTTACATCAAGAGCCGCAACGCTGTAGTGTGTTCATCATTTATGCGCAGCCGAATGAGAAATCCTCATGTCTGTAGTGTCCCGACCCCAGGAGTTGCTGTGATCCAGATGTGTACCAGCTTCCCTGCCTACTCGTTTGTTCATGTGTTTAAAAAAAAGATTTATAAAAGACCTAGTTTGGGTGGGAAATGCACAGCTCTGTTGGATTTCAAATAAACGAATAAATAAATAAAAGTCATCACAAGTGCTTTGCCAACTCCGCTGGCGTCAAGTCTAAGCGTGTGTGACTCTAAACTGCGATGAGTGTGCGAGGAGACACTGACGGGGAGGTGGGCTCTATTGTCTCTACTGTAGATGACATCATCCCAGACCAATGGCGAAACAAACGGGATGAAGGGCTCAGGGGCGAGCACGAAGCACGTGCGGGCTGGTGGATGAACCTCTTACTTACTCACAGTTTGCATGGCATGGAAACATTCATTCCTATAAATAGAAATACCTCGAAGTGGATGACACATCAGCTCATCACCAGTGATGCAAGTAGCCAACCAGTGGAGGAAGATGGATAAGCTGTAGATCTATTACTTACTGTGGTAGTACATCTATATAAATGACCAAAGCATTGCAAAAGCATTGTTCTGACCAGGAAACAACAGCAACAACCAATCAATTCCTGTCCATTATCCAATATCCATGATCAAAATTAGCATACAAACTTTATCAGTAATAAACAACTCATTACATTAACATTAATGACACATTCAATTTTGATAATATGTAGGATGAAAAAACGTTTGCATGCTTGAGTGGAATAATGAATTTTACATAACTCATAGACAAACTCTTTATTTTGTGTCCTTTTTTATAGATGCATACACGCTGTCCCTGACAGTCCCCTATGATTAGGCCTGTAATTTTCTTGATAAAAAAAGCAATACCTACAGTATATTACTTTTCAAAACATGCATGTTTGTTCAGTTTAGTCACACTCACTCTGCCTTAGGTTTGAGTTCTATTAAAGGTATGCTCACACCATTAGCCCTGTCAGTATGTTATTTCTGGTAAACCAAGTTTGAACTAAAAAGAATCCAAATGTCTGTCTTCACAAGGAGTGATGATGATTGACAGGGGGGCCATGCAACCAGGAAATTACCTTCTTGTGTGACATTATGAAGCACAGTGAAGCAACCAATGGCAAAGCAATTTTAGCATTCAAAGCCATTTTACCTGTCACTTATGCTGAGAAAGGCAGCAAGTAGAGACATTTAATGGTGCCAGGAGTGATACATCCATATTACAGGTTTGCAATCTGGCACAAACTGGATTTGCTAACCATCCAGCATTATGACTGACTGTAACCATTTGCAGCTTCTCAAGCAGTTCCACCCCAAGCTAACATATAGGCTACATCCACACCTCTGATCATCTATAGCTTGCTCCCAGTTAGAGGAATCATCAGCTGAGTAGTAGTAAAGCATCACCAGATGTCCCCTATCATACCTACTACATTTAAGCTGTGCTTTTCCGACAGAACTTATGTATGTGAAATGAGAAGAATTACACCTCATCGTTCTGTATGCTACTCCAAATACTATTACTTCATGACATATTGGTCCGCTAGAGTCACTTCACTCACCAGCCGCAGTTCAGGTCCATTCACCACAGTGACTGTGATGTATGAGGAAAGGTAACACTCTAAGATTTGCTTGTATCTGCTGCACTTGGCAACATAATGTAATGATGTGTAAATCTGATCATATGAACTATCCTATTTGACACCTGCACTGTAAGCACTGTAAATTAGTTAATGTGTATATGTTTTAAAGGCAACATTTCACATCATGTCAGGAATTTTGTCTTGTTCTGGCTTGTCTTGTACAACAGAGGTTTTAACTGGGAGTAGTTCATGCTCACATAGTTTGCCTTTATTTCAAGAATGGAAGGACAGTGAGGAGTTTCAAAATGTTTCACTAATCTATTTATATCTGGATATGAAGGTTCAGCTCATGATGTTGAGTTATAAGGTGTCAGTTTCTCCTTCTGTGAGCCTGCTGAATTAGCAAAACAGGCTTGAGAATGTTTAAGTCAGGAACAGATTTAGTGATTTGGTCTTTGTTTTTAATGTAAATCACAAGAGTACCTTAAAAACCTAAAACCAGTTGCGTTTTCTGTGACAAGCACAGAGTGTGATTGCAGGTGGCAGTGTTGGATGGATATTAGTGGCTAATGCCATTAATATTGGTGAAAGAAATAGTCTTATATTTGTATAGCGCCTTTCAACACTGAAAGAACACACTCAAAGCACTTTCACATTATTTGGCCATTCACCCATTTGCACTCCCAAGCACTCACACACTGGTGACATCACCGGGAGCAACTGGGGGTTCAGTGTCTTGCTCAAGGACACTTTGGCACATTGACTGGAAAAGCTGGGAATCGAACCGCTAATCCTCTGGTTAGGAAACAACCCGCTCTCCCTCCTGAGCCACTGCCGCCCCAAATGTGAATTGTCTGAAAATATTTGTATGCCGCCTATTTGTGTTGGCCTAAGCTTTGGTCCTGAACTCTGTAGATTCTTTTGTCATAGCAAATTCATTATTATGGGGGAGTTTTAAGTTTTGTTGTTTACAGTAATTTGAAAGTCTCACGGTATTTGCAGTAGTGGCATCAGTGTGCACATGAACATGCACTGTAAATTACGCTCTTGCTCTAATGATTAAAGTCACTAACAAAACATGTCAAGATTATAGTAGTAGTAGTATGGAAACACATTTTATTTTACCATATAATAAGTTTGTAGATGAATATAACTTCATTTGGATGTATGTGACATTTAAAACAGCCTTTGAAATGTTCTATATGAAAAACACTATTTATATATGACTATGAGTCATTTATCCATCTGTCTGTGTAATGTTCATATAATTTGTTTCTGATGGTGGTGGATGCAATCATTTACCTAGTTGTACTTGTGTCTGCTTGTCTGACAAGAACTGCTAACTGGACCGGCATGTTGCTACTTGTTTCGCTCCTGAATATAGTTTTCTTCTGGTGTATTGGCTTTTTCCTATTAGAATTCCCACTGGGAGATTTGTTGGTGTTTCTGATTCTGATGCAGCTGATTCTGCTGTTCAGACTCTTGGCACATTACAGAGTCAAAACTTGAACACTGTTGTATGCATATTTGGTGCACAGTGGGAGTGGAGTGGGGGAATTTTAGGTGCTTTCTATAAGTGATTACAGTGATTCACTAAATTACAGTGTACACTGTACACTAATATGTATTGGTATGCATTGTATCAAAACTGAAAAAATAAAAATCTTAACAATAGTTTGACATTTTAGATGATATGATTATTTGCTGTCTTGCTGAGAGTTAGACGAGAAGACTGATGGCCCACCAAATTTATGCCAAGATGGGAAACACAGCCAGGCTGACTCTGTATAAAGGTAACAACATTGTTCATGTATAATTACATGCTAGAATATTTCTTGGCTTGACCTTGTAGAGCTTTGCCGTCACTGTTGCCATGTTTGCCTTCCTTTAAATTCATAATGTGTTATTGTTACTCTTGGTTTTGTTGTGGATTAAACAAACAAGATATGTTGTAATTATTGATTATTACTGAGCTTTAGAGGTGCTTGTAAACCTATATTGTTACCTTCAGATGTTTTTATGCAAAGATAAATGGTTACTTGCTTCCAATTACAGTCTGTTGGAACTACATACTATGTAGTTTTATATTGCCTGTGCAGCTATGATAGTGGTACTGGTCTGCTTCACTAACTTGGCAAAAAAGTGCAAAAACATAGTATTTCCTAAAATGTCGAACTAGTCCTCTAAGCAAGTAGTTTTTAGTTGCCTAACCCTGAACTTGCATTAACTGTTCTTCCCCTGCCACTTGGGGACAGTGCAACAGGCTGTAAATAATAATGACATTATTCCCTTGAAAAGTTGTTGTAGACATACTGTAGTTACACACAGACACAGAGAAACATTAGCACAATTAGCCTGAATTGGAGTTATGCTTCTGGCCACCTGATGAATGTAAATTCAATATGCATTCTCCATTAAGCATTCGTCTTTTGTTCATTTATTTTGGGATTTTAAAAAGTAGCTAAATGTCTACACTGCAGTGTATTGTACTGTTATGAACTTGATGTTGTCAAACCTGCACACCAATATAATTTTAGGACAAATTCAAAAGAAAGTAAATATATACAAGAATTGTTGCAGCTTCATCTGCTCATTTTCATTCCAAACCACATTCAGTCCTCAGACCTTCACCCTATACAGCAGGGGGCCTTTAATACAAACCCTGTCAGAAAGGTGACAGTGTGCGGAACTCCTTTCTGAGTTGTCAAAGAGTTCATACATTGAAAAATCTCACTTTTGAGTTACTGTGCAGAGGACAAGGTAATCTCACCATGCACAGAAGTGACTGTGCGCCTACAAGGAATGATAATAACAATAACTTTTTGCAACAGTGAAGTTCAGTTACCCACCAGTGTGTTTGGAGTACATCTTTGTGCTTGAACTAAAAGTGATACGATGATCAAGATGCTGTTTAAACTGACATTATTTTTATATGTTAAACCATTTTTTTCTCTATCATATATGTTTTTCTGCTACAGGCTAAATAGTCATTAACATGATGAAACCTAACACATCACACTAATTAGAGCTAAGAAACCTTTTTTTTTAAATCAGCAATACATTTAATCAGTGGATCTCTGTTTTCCTTGACTGTGATCAGACATTATGTGATTATTAGCTGAGGAAATAAGGTTCTCACCCAATGTCAGTCACATGCCTCACAGCTTCTAAGGAAAATGACTCATTCTACAGTGATATGAGATTATATATCACACAATCTTGTGATTGAGATGTGGAGTCCAGCCCCACACCCACAGGCATCTCTAGATGAGTAGCCTCTGTTTAATGTCTATTGTGTGTGACTTGCTTATTGTAGTCAGATTTACTATGTGCGTAACAAACAGCAGATGCACATTGTACTGCTGTGCAATTACTCAGCGGCATCTGCAGTGGATTGTAGAAAAGTGGTAGTAGAATATATCTAAATCCATTTACTCAAGTACTGAACTGTGTTTTAGTACAGTTTTGAGGTTCATGTCCTAAACCTGAGTAGTTCTATTTTATGCTCCAATTTACTACAAGTCAGCAAAGTTTTAGAGGGAGTATTGAACTTTTTAGTTCATAACATTTATATGAGAGTTACTGTAGTTACTTTTCAGACTTTGCAGGTTATAAAATACAATGCTTTGTTAAAAATCAAACCAGTAATCTATTTTTACTTTTGACAGTTTCAGATGTGCTTAGTGTTGTTGCCTCACAAGCAAGAAGGTTCAAGTCCCAGCTGACCCGGGGCCTTTCTGTGTGGAGTTTGCATTATCTCCCTGTGCCTGTGTGGGTTCTCTCCGGGTGCTCCCGCAGTCCAAAGAGTGATGCAGCTTCGGCTGATTGGTGATTGCCCATAGGAGTGAGTGTGGGTGGTGGTTTGTCTACATGTCAGGCCCTGTGATAAACTGGTGACCTGTCCAGGGTGTTTTTAATTATGAACTATGGGTGAAATAACTCTTTATTTTCCAGATTTGTGTAGCAGGATTTGGTTTTCTTCCTTCCTCTTCCATTAATCATCTCATGATTCCCAGACTTACCTTGTGACCCTTTAAAACCTCTAAATTCAACTACCTACACAGGTGAAACCTGCATCTGCAATAGTGTCATTGTAATTAGACTGACACATCAGTATTAACAATCCAAAAATGTAAACATGTATTTTCAGCAAAATCAAGATACACTTCACTTTTGTGGTTTTACTATTAAGGATACAGGACTTTTACACTGGTGTACTGGTACTCTTAAAAGATTTGAGTGCTTCCTCCAGCATGGTCAGAGTGGTGATTTTAAAGATTAATTTGTGGAGTTGTTTCTCAGGGTTTCATTAAATTGTACAAAAACCTCACACTTCAACTTAATATTCTGGTAAATCACCAAATCTTAATGGAGGTAGCATATGAGTTTTGGTGTTTGTGCAGACATAATTTTGAAAGACTCCCATAAAAAAAAAGGCAGTTTTCTGTTTTTTTTTTTCTCTGTGTGAGATTAAAAAAACAAGGCATGTTATAGCATCATAAAACAGCAACATTTATTTCTACATTTTATACATTAAACGTGCACATCAATAAAACTAAATTTAATCATATAAATAGTTCTACTGTAATACTGTCACAATAAATATGGCTATTATTCTAGGTTAAATAAAAAACAGAATTCAATATCAACTGCTGTGTGACACACGAAGACACTGCATCTCCAGTGATGGACCTATTAGATGACTGTGCTATAATAAGGACGTCACTCTTAGTCATTTGAAAAAGGAGCCTTTGCTCTCTGCTGTGCTTTTCTTCTAAAAGTGTTTTAAAGTGTTCAGTGTCGGCATGACTGCTAAGAAAACCACTGTGTGTGCTCAGACTGCACCTTTCCATTGTTGGGGTCAGTGATGAGATAGTGCAATCCTTGCGACAATTTGTGCTAGAGAACAGAGGAGGACCCCCCCCACACACACAAAATTTTATACTTCATGGTCCAATTTAAAGTTTGTGCTCTGCCCCAAGTTGACATACATTTAAAAAAAACAACAACCTGTTTTTAACCCTGGCTGTGTTGAACATGACACTAACTGACATGTGGGAAAAGGGCATCAGGCAGTGAATTTGATATAGTTGTGAATCACATGTACAAGAACACATCAATACATCAGCCATGTCAAAATATTACATACGGTATTTTAAAATAGATTACCATGAAACTCTGATAACGTGCAAAAATAAACACCTACTCTTTCACAAAACCCCCACGCACAATGTTCATCTTTTGCATGATATACAGTGAATAAATTGAGTAATAAATATCAACACAACTATGTTTTACAGATTACTTCAGACAAGTAATGTCTTTTCATTCATGTCAAGTATAATGCCATCCCACGCATCGTCTTCAACATCCTTCAAATCTTGTTTCAGTCATGATCTTAAAAACTGTATTAAATGTTATGGTGCTAGAGCTTTTTCATGTCAAGAGACAAAGTTTCATGTGGTTTTTGCTGCTAGCAATGATTAGATAAATGTCCATTGAACGCACTGTTTCAAAAAGGAAGAAAAGTTGAGAAGAAGTTCAATTTCAGTGGCTAAAGCTATCTTTCACAGCATAGTGGATGGTGGCATACAGTGGTTCCAAAGTCCAAAGACTCAAAGTCAGATATAGTGCAGTATCAATAATAATAACTAATGATACAAATAGTTATAAACCTTTGTGAAAATAGAGAATACACGTTCAGTAGACTGTAAAAACAAGGAGAGGAGTTGTGTCTGTGCATTTTCCTCAGAAACCAGGCACATAGCAGTATGCCTCCAAGGAGGCCAACAGGATGTAGATGAACCAGAGGGAGAGGAAGAGGAAGAAGGTGAGAAGCTTGGCTGTCCGTGGACCCCCGAGCTCTCCACCTGAAACGCTGGGACGCCGGCGATAGAGCAGCACCAGAACACACACCAGTGCCATGATAGTGAAGAGGGTAACAGAGAAGGCCAAAGAGCCCGGCTGTACCTTGAAAACCTGGCCTTTGGTCTGCCAGTAAATAGCTGCGATGGTCCACGCCACCCCAATGCCCAGGAACACATTCACTGCGTTGCTGCCCGTCACATTGCCAATGGAGGCGTCAGCATATTGGTCCTGGATGGCAGCCACTTTACTTGCAAATGTGTCTGTGAAAGAAAGAAAAATATGAAAGAAACATAAAGGGAAAAGGAGATGTGAAACTGGTGAATCTGTACAAATCAGTTACTGATGGTGATCAATGGTGTGCACACAGCCTGACAGGGCAGAATTCTCTAAAGGCACCCATCAAACCTTACCTCTACCAGGGACTTGAGAGCAGAAGTTAGAGGTTTTTAAGTACATGCAACTTTAAAATGTCACTCTGGGGCACAAAGGATTCATACAGTTTAAGCCATAAGGAGTTTAAAAGTTGATGGTAAACACTGTTACAATTAATGCTTTTATCATTTTTTTTCTGGGGAGATTTTAAGTCATTAGTTAGCCAGAGATGGGCAGCCAGACTCAAACCAGGGACACTGCAATTCATGGTTGGCACCAGAACCTGAGCCATGGGGGGATCTATTAGAGATCTAGAACTTTACAATTTACACTTTACAATCAATTAGATGACAAAGTCCAGCTCTAGGGAAGCTTTTGCCATCGTTTACAACGTGACAACAGAACCTTCTGCAAGTCAGTTACATACATTCACACCTGGAAGCTGAACTACTGATTAACCCACTGGTCAGCCCAGCTCCACTGCAGCAGCTGAAGGTCATAGGTCTTGCTCAAGGCACCACAGTGGAGGTAATGAGGGTGTGGCATGCGTGACTTTGTCACCTGACCACGCTCAGGTTTAATGCCAGTCCAGAGATTGAACTGGTGACCCAAGATCACTTCTCTAACCTTTGGGCCACCACTGGCCCTAATAAGAGCAAGTTTACTGAAAGCTAGCATTACCTGAGGTTGGTGTAATATAGTGATTATTATTGATATAAGCTGTCTGTATGCTTGAAGGAGAGTGTCTGCTGAGCTAAAACCTGTCAAAAATCTAATTTTTGTACTCTCATTTGTGCCAGTGTGAGGCAGTGTTTAGGACATAGTGAAATGGAAATATGATGAGCCCATATGGGGTAAGTGAAACTGTTTTTCTTTGTTTACAGCTTGTTAGTTTTAAAAACAAGAACTCTGGACAGAGTTCCTCAGAGAGCACAGGTAGAGGCAGAGGTTACACAAGTCACCTTGAGTAGCTGCTTTTAATGCATGGGGAAATTACCCAGAGGACACAGCTGTCAAAGTGGATACACAGCACACATGCCCACCTGGAATAGAGGTGCCGAGGGCCACAAACACTACAGCGGTGACCGAGTCTTTGAGACCAATGGTGCAGCCAAAATGAGAGGCCAGATCCCCGGTCACGGCCGTTAGAATACCAATGAGGGAAATGGACACAAAGAAGCAGGCCCAGCCATTCCAGTACTCAGTGGGGGGGACAAAAGCAAAGAGGACTTTCCAGAAAACAGTCAGGAAGTGCATAATGTAATCAAAGCAGGATGGCAACCGTTCCTCCCCACTCTCCTCCTCATCATCATCACCTGGAAAAGACAGAAAATAACCATGGCCTGCAAAACATACACATGCTTTTTCTGTTGACAAATTATTTGGAGATCATAACCTCTAACTCAAACCTTAGTTTGGAAAAGTCACATACTAAATATTATATGATCAAGCTGTGACATCACATATCAGTCCTAAAGCACTCATTACATTAAATCTGTAAATATAGTTAAGACTCAGTGATTACTGGTAGGAATCATTTATATATTCACGCTCTGTATGCAAATCTGAGAGAGAATGAGAAAAAATAATGCATTTAAAAATTACAAAGGTTAGCTTTTAGCACAAATGCTTTATACACACATCTAAAAGGTTTTAAAGTGTTCATTGTACACTGACATAAATATTTCAGAGCCATTAACTGTTCAGGTAGAGCTGGACACTGTAGTCTTTATGTTGAGCTGCATAAGGATTTCACCTCATCATGCATTTTTAATAAACTGTGGTTTAAAAGAAGGCAGCAACAGTTTTTATAAATTCTTTCATTCATTATCTGCTAAATTAGGATTTAAAAAAAAAATCAGCCAATGTAAAACTGAAGTGTTTGGGATTTTATTAAAGGAGTAAAAAACAACTGCACAAGTGGATCCACTTAGTAGGTTAAACTAAGACAGTGACACCTTGAGTTTCTTCCAAATAACGCACATTTCATTCATAATATTATAAACACAGACCTACAATTTGCACGTTTTTGTTTTTTCCAAATTGTGTGAAATGGCTAATAAAAATAGGTAATACAAGGTGAATTGGTTTAGTCTTGACTTCTGGTCGTGAGTGACAGTGTTGGGGAATGGGAAATCTGTTGATTGTCGATTGCAAAAAAAAAACAACAACAACAAAAAAACAGAGCGATGGAGAGAAAAAGGTCAAAGCTGTCAGGTGCCCAATTTAGGAAAAAGAGAAAAGAAGAAGAGGAGAAACGAGCAAAGGATAAAGGTATGCAACTACATTCTGTATGATTACGGTGTCCATGTCATCAGTGAAGGGCTAATGTTAATTTATTGGCATAACGTTGACTCTTACGTTTGTTAGCCTTCTTCCACAAGTCGGGTCTCAGAGCAATGAACAGATGAGACATTTTAGGACACTGCAACTCACCTGCGCTTACAGTGACAGCGCTAACAAACTGCTCTCTCCAGCTGCTGCTTCCCACCACCAGAGCCAGATTCGTCTTCTTGATCAGCTTGTCCACAGTGCTCTGCAAACAGGCAGAGCCAGAATAAAGAGAACGGGACATTTTGGTGATAGCCATTTTTCTGTTTAGGGGTATGAACTACACGGTGCGTCTTAACAGTGTCATATGAACATAAGAACACTGACGTGGTAAATTAGGTGGAATTAACTGTCTTTCTCCTCCCACAGTGAGTCACTAAAAAGAGGCCGGAAAAAGGAACCTTGCCAGCATAAAGCTGCTTTTGAGCCAGTAAGACATGATACTGGTGCCCAAGGAATCATATCATGTTACTGTTTAAATCTTTTTCTCAGGATCGGTGCGTGAAGCTGCCGATAATGTCGTGGTGAACTCAGTTAAATTGCCAGATGAGGATATGTAAAGCAAAACTGTCTCTTTAATAAGAGCACAGACACTGAACAAAAAATGATACAAGACACGGTGGGAACACACAGTGAAATACTATGAAAATGACGGATAGATATGTATTTAGTGGGAAAAGAAATCTGTTTTATTTTATTGTATCAACCCCAAACACACTGAATGAGCTGAAAACAACTTTGGTCAGGATGGTGAGGATGGACTATGCTGAGAAATAATAAAGAATAACTGATAAATGTCTTTTTAAAAATGTATATATATATATATATATATATGCTCTTATAGTGTCTAAAAATGAACTGAGGATTAAAAGGTTGTGACAGGCTGAAAGACCAAAGAAGTACTGAGCAGGAAAAGCACAGGTAAATCTTGAAAGAACAATCTGACTTCTAGTATTAGTCATCTCTGGTTAGCTTGTGAGACATTCCAAAAAAAAGAACGATAGGCCAGAGTGTTTCTGTGGCTTATTTTACTGACCTTAAATTCATAGGACTCCTCAATCACCACCTCCAGCTTAATGTGCTCTCCTAGAGAGGGACATCCCATCTTCGACACATCCTCAGTCCCCGCTGCAGTCTTGTTATCGTTGGTGTCTCCTGCAGCAGAGGAACCACTGTGTAAATCAGCCAGCACATGGGCTGAGGGGGAGGTTTGTTATAAAATAAAACTGAAAAGAAAATGAAACCCAGTCTTCCACGAGTACTATATATAATCTATAGGTCTGATGAGATAGCTTTTGTCTGAACCTCTGCTGAGAAACAGAGCAGCCAATCATAATCGTTGATCCTGTCCAAAGCAACTGTCATCCTGAAATAAATATGCCATGAAATAAATAAAATAGACCTTTGTTTATTAGAACATCTGTATGTTTATTTAGTATAAGAGGTGGAATTGGAATAATACACAAGTATATATTTATTTCAATGACCTTAGACCTTAACATTTGAGTTGGGAGAAATTGATATCAATGGATATAAACTGCACTTGCTGAAGAATTGAAATAAAATATAAAAAAAGAATGGATGCAGGAGAATGAATAATGAGGAGAATGACTGTTACTGTAGCATGCAACAGTGTCCTGCACTCACCATGTCTCTGGCCCACCTCCAGCAGTATGGGCTCCTCCAACACGATCGCAAAAGTCTTGTTCTTCTCGTACTCCTCATCATCAATGATCTTCACATTCAGCAGCTTCCTAAAAGCAGAAGGGTTCAGAAACAAGGAAGCAAAGAAAGTGGGTCAATTAATTATTTAGCATTATTTAGGGGAAAACAACAGTCAGTTTGACTTAAGCTACAGTAAACCTTTGTTACATACATTTCATCAAAAATAGATCCCAGGCAGCCAGTAAAAGCTGTTTGTACTGCTTATGCTTTTGTACACATTCCATTAAGAACAGTGCAGCCAAGAGGTCAACTGCCCAACTACTTAAGATTTTAACAGACTAACAAATATACTGTATTAGTATAAAACACTCTGCACAGTATTAAACAATGTTTTAATTTTTTTCCAGCAGCCCAGAGGGCGGACTGCCTCTACAACATTAGAGTACAGGTGTAATGAAATAACCCCCACCCCTCTCACATACTTCAAGTTATAAGTCACAGCAAATTGATTTTTTTTTCATTATTTTGCAGACTGAGGAAATTAAGTAGTGCCTATTCACATACCAAAATCCTAATTCTTTAGTAATACAGCTTGTTCTGTGGTGTTAATTTGTAACCGGCATATTTTCCTCAGTTCGCTTCATTCTCTCACTCTGTCACAGTGAATCTTTCTCTGCTTCTCCCTCCATCTCCCTAATGATATGTGGGTGGCTGTCTATTTCTGTCTACACATATACACTTAGGATTCGACAACACACAGGCAGAGCTCCTGCTTGCAGAAGAGAAGAAGTGTATTTTAAACATGAATGACATGTCACTGACTAATGTCAGGGTAAGCCATGCCAGTGAGAGCAAATGGAATTGTAGCATAGCCTAGAGTGGAAACAAGAGCTTATCCTTTAAACAAGCTGTTATTTCAAGTATGATACATGCAGGAATG